AGTGTATAAATAAACACAGAAATAAGTTACTATGGAATAAAAGAAAAAGAAAAAAAATAGTACAGTATTATACAGTAGTATAGTACATATATAAAAGAGTAATCAAATGCAGTACTAAATAAATAATTGAAAATAAGTAAATAAATACATGCTGAAAACATTATAAACACAAAAATAAAAGTTTAAAATAAAACATACAGATACATACATATTTAATTTATAATTGCATTTACATGTATCACTTACATGTATTTCTTTCACATGTATATTTATTTATTCGATGATGTGGGTGGTCCTAACCTCATTCTGAAACAGGATTGGTTATTGATTGATTTTGCTCCTCTACTTCCTCCTGGCTAACAATGCTTCGCCAGTCACAAACAATAAAAAGCATCAATTACAAGAATAGCATTAGCAATATATATTTGTAATATTGCAGATCCTTTCCACTTTTACATGTTGCCTTTGTTCAACCTCTTTTCCAGCGATAGTCTTTCTCTTTCTGGAATGATCTTGGTCCATAGCAAAGGTCCCCTATTATACTATTTTTTCATAAATATATTATAGTTCTCATTTATATACAAAACATGTCTCTGAAGTGTTTGGCTCGAAATACCAAACAGATCATGCATTATAGCATCGCATAAACCCCTCTGTTTCAGCCCTGTTTCAAAAGGGCTGATTCTGGGTCTGTAGCTTTAGATGAAAATAAGGTGCCACTCCCAATGCCCCTCTTGCCCCTTTCACACAAGCGCCGGTTTTTCCTGTTCACACCGCAGCGGCGCCGCGTCATAGCTCCGGAATGCGGTTCACTTCCAGCTCCAAAAAATTGTCGGTCTAGAGGCAAGAGCTTCGGAGCTATGACGCGGCGTCGCTTACGTCTCTCTTATGTCGAGGCCTGCAGGAAACTAAACCCACCTCCCCTGAACATGGGTCGACTGAAGAGTCTCGTCATGCCTGCCTACAAGCAGTAGCGCTGAGCAAAGTGACTAGAAGGCAACCACACACTTATAAAAAAAAAACACACTTCATAAAGTCAGGCAACACTAACCAGGCTTCGTGTGATTCTGTTTATTTGTACCTTACTTTGACCATCCGTTCGCTGTTATTGATCATTGTGGAGAGCAGACAGACGTTTTGTTTGTTATTATAGCAGCTATCGGATGGAATCAATACATGGGCTGCACAGGTTGTCATGTCCGACTATCACAAGTAGAATCATAATGAAAAATACGCCGGTAAAATGTGCCTGGAGAAAACGGCTTAGCAAGTAGTCAGTTTAGCTTCGGTTGCTATGCTAACATCACCCATGTTATACCAGAGAAATGTTCATAAAAGCGTTGTGATGCCAAACAGCGTCAATTCAGACTGACACACATTCACTTAAGGGGAACTGGGGATATCAGCTGCTTGTGTGACAGTCAGACAGTGAATACTTTAGAGCCGTGTGAGCTAACCCGGAGCTAACGGGAGAATAAACTCCCGTGGAAGAGCAGCCAGCACTGCAGCAGTCGGTAAATGCCGATGAAACACATTAATAAACAATGAACCATGGCACTCTGGAGAAAAGTATAAGGTTGGAGAAGTCGTTATTTAATTTAATCTGGCTTCGTATGATTAAAAGCAACACGATCATCGACCCGACGCAGTCCCCCCCCCGTTGTTGTTGTGAGCTCCGTTGGGGAGAAAATCAGCGATGTAAACGGTGACGTCATGACGCAGCAGCGGCAGCTAGGCGGTGTGAACAGAGCGGGAGCTGAAAAGGGAAACCGGAGCTGAACCAGAAAAGCTCTAGCTAGGAGCTAGAAAGGGAAAAGCGCTGGTGTGAAAGCCGCATCTGCGAGATATTTGGTTGCTCTAGGAGGAGATTCAGGTGATAAGGTGGGGGGGGGGGGGGGGGGGGGTTACCTTGGTTAGTTATTGGCTAATGGTTACACAAGCCAAAACATCGTTATGACATCATAAAGTGGCCAAAATCTGATCAGCTAATTTCAGACAGGTTTTTATATAAATGGATCAAGACAAAAAGTGAGCAAATCTCTTTACAGAGAGGGGACACATGTTTATGTATAAAATACATAAAAAAGTGGAATTCGCATAATAGGTGATCTTTAAGAAAGCTCTTGTTGGCAGCCAGGGATGATTGTTTGTCCTTGGTGCCTGTGCAGGTTAATCGTTGTGCACAAAGTTCAGATAAATCAAATTTAGATGTTGAAAACATTCAACACAAAACAAGAGACGCACATTACAAGATTATGTAAAGTTCTACACCGAATCTATACAACTTGACATCGCACCTGAACTCTGGTACAACATCCACACATATTTTAGCGACCGCTCTTAGGACGCATTCGGTGAAGCTCATTCCTGCTGCCAAGATGCAAGCTGCTTCAAGTCTACCGGGACACTCGTCTCGGGCCCTGGGACTGTGGAATGATTGTATCCTCTATCAGAAATGGCACTCAGCTCACTTGGTGTGTGAGTTTCCACAGGGCTGAGGCTGTAAACAGAACAGGTGGAAAAAGTTGGCTTCCTGTCTCCGTCTGCTGTGCATACCTTTGCATCTACCTCACTTCCAAGAAGCACCTTGTTCCAAATAGAGTCCTCCTCATCCAAACTTTCAGAACTCCCCTGGCTTATGTCGATGTCCGACCTCCTTGCTCAGGCGAGGTACATCAAAAATAGGTCTCATCCTCGTGCCTCACCGATAGAGTTCTTGGTTTCTGGAAAAAGCTGGTGTGTGAGGTGAGAACAAATGTTGTCCTGAAAAGAGCGTCTAACTCTATCAACGACAGCATCATTGCACGCTTTATCTGCAGTGCAAAGCCTCTCTTCTTGGGGAGTTAATGCAGCCCTCTCAGACTTCTCAATAGGCGCGTTCAAAAGGATTGGACGACGACATGCACGCGCTACGCTACGTGTGAAATTAATAAACTGTGCCAGGTGTGTCGTATGCACACTAAATAGGCTCAGCAGCTAACACACCTTTATTATATATCCTCCTGAGAGCAACTGCATCCGTCTGCCATGAACCCTACAGAAACCTACGTGTTAGTTGTGGCCCATAGTGGCCTCCATTTGTGTCGTGTAAAATGGGGGAAATCAAAAGTTAGCAAATCCCCATGTCATGTTTATAAAAACATTTAGTTTTAGGTCAAATAATTATTACACTGCTCTGAAACCCACTACACTAACTCCTAAGATGTTCCCTTACTATAATTAATTAAAAATATTGAACTCACAACACTGGTAATAACAAACTTAACCATTTCTCTTTCTATAAATAAATAGTGCTTGTGTTGGACGCCATTTTGAAATACAATGAAATTATCTTTTTAAAAACCACAATAAATAAAGCTTCGCCAGTTTATAACCGATGAAACATGATGGTATCAGAATAATCACTTACATGTGATGTATCATGCTACACAGGTCACTGTAAAGATAAAGTGTCAGAGGAGAAATAAGCAAGCTTAGTTACATGAAATGTAATGAAAAATGTAAGATACAGGCTCCGTTTAATCGCCATGTAGGTTCTCTTTTATTGCACACTCAAGACAATATCAATAACAGCATCACGCTGTCCCAGGTGTGTCGTATGCATGTAAATAGAAGTTAACATTTTCAATATCAAATAAAGTGTCAGTAGTATCAAAACATATATATATATATAATAACAATAGGTAGGCTCAGCAACAGACACACCTTAGTGCAAAGTGAAGTGTCAGTATTAATAACAGTGGCATATATATATAATCACAATAATACAAAATTAACTGTCCCAGGTGTAGGCAATTTGGGGTGAAGTGTCTTGCCCAGGGACACAACGACATGCTGACTGCAGTGGGGTTTGAACCTGTGACCCCCTGATCCGAACACCTACGGACAACCCACTACGCCACACGCCCCCCAGATCCCAAAGAACTGGGAATTACAAAATGTGTTATTTGTTAAGCGTGGGTTGTGTTTAAGGTCTAGAGAACACTGATAAGAGCTGTTTGCAGATTGTGTAAAGCTGATTTAGGCAGTACGTAAATGTCTGCAGATAACTGAGTGACCTAGTTTAGTTTACCGTTTTACTTAATGTGTTTTGTGAAAGCTACAAAAAGTTAACAAATATTTCTGTCTCTGATGTTGTTTTTCGCAGGATCTCATAGGACTTTAGCATCCAGTCTGCACCCAATATGTATGATCTTTTTGGAATTCCTTAATATTTTAGACAATTTTCATATACAGTAATGGTTTATCAACATCCTCCAAATAGCCTATTCCATGTATACAGCCCTCATTTTCATTTTTTATCTGCAACCAATGACATACAAAATGCAGTATAACAGTATTTAGACATTTAAAAAAAGAGCACTCTGTTGACTGAAGGTCTGCACTTTATCACTGCTTATCTAATGTTGCTTGTTCTTATAGATGTTGTGCTTCAGCTCAACTTAGTTCAGACTGACAATTCAAACTTTATCTCACCCGTTAAACAAAATATCACTGTTAACAGTTCTAAATATGTGGCATACTGTACATGATTTAAGTCACACATATACTTGGTTATTATCAGAATGCCTCCTAAAAAATATATTTTAATGCATTTTTTTCTTCAGACCACCAGTGCCTTTATTGAAGAGAAAGAGTTGAAAGGGCGAGACATAGGGGATGACATGCAGAAAATTGTCCCAGGCCGGATTCAAACCTCAGTCCTCTGCACGGGGAGCAAACTCCAGTAAATAGGCCGCCAGCACGTGAACTATACGGCAGCCCTATTTTCACTTATTTTGATGTACTTCAGTCAATTTGAGCAAATTAACAAAATAGCCACCATGGGCAGCTAGTCACATAGCCAAAAACATTTTAGGATTATTTCATGCTGTTTCGTTTGACGCCATTGACAGTGAGAGATCAGTGACAGGAAACACAGCAATGCTGGGGGTTGGTGCACTGAGTCATCACAACATGGATTAACTTGGTCTTAAACAATACAAAAAACAAACACTGGATGGTTATTTGTGGAAGCATTTATTATGTTGTGCAGCCAAACACTGATATCAGTATAATGTTATGTTTACCGGTTTGGTTAAACAGCGACTAATTATGAATGGGCCGACTTATGCGGATCTCTTGAACTGGGGGTCCTCAGCGAAGAGTTTCTCCGCCAGGGTTGTTCCAGCTGCTGCAGGGACGCACTGAGCCGAGAATGCGGTGGGGTAGGCCTCGATGGTGGGCTCTGATTGTCCGGGGATCTGGGGGTCGGGCTTGAGGTTCAGGGTGACTCCCACCTCACCAGGGGGGACTTCGGGGAAAATAGGCAGGATCATGGGCTGGTCCACTGCGGGAATCATCTTCACCATGCCCTCTGGGTGGTCGTGGGATGCATTCTCGTGCTCGTGTTCGTGGTGATGGTGGTGGTGCTCGTGCTCGTGCAGGTGGGGGTGCTTGTGGTCGTGATCCAGAGCCACCTCGTGGTCGTGCTCGTGGGTGTGCTCGCTGTCGGCGTGCTTGTAGTTGTGGTGCTGGTTGGGCACATCGTCGCTATGGTTGTGAGCCTTGCTGTGGTGAGTGTGCACGTGATCGTGGCCGTGCCCGTGGTCGTGGGAGTGGGCGTGAGCGTGCCTGTGGCCGCCGTGGTCGTGTTCGTGGTCGTGCGTGTGGTGGTGGTCGCTGTTGTCTGCGTGCTGCTTGGTTTTGTCGTGATTGTCGTGGCTCTTGGTGTGGTCGTGAGCGTGGTCGTGTGTGTGTGCGTCGTCGACGGCGTGTGCGTGGTCATGGTCGTGGCTGTGTGGATGTTTGTCTGTGTGGCTGTGGTCGGTCTCTCCGCCCAGATGGTGGTGTTTCTTCTCTCTGTCAGCAGCCTTGAGAACACGTAAAAGATAAAATGAGTAATATTGGGGACATAGAAAAAGTGGTAAGTAAATTGGTGCAATTTAAGCTATATTCATATATTGTACAGTACATACTGTTTTTTTGATGTATTTTTCACATTTTATCTGAATTTTCTTCAACTATGTCTTCTAAAGACCAAACATTAAGTTCATAACGGGAATTCAGAGCTGTATTTTGATTCAAATTGTGAAGCAGAATTTGCATTTCAGTACAACTTACATCTTATTTGTGTAGGTTAAGTCATTGTGTCCATATGATATAATTGTTATCACTAGATAATTGCTATAGTCATAATTTTAAATAATATGATGTTATTATATGATTGAATGCCAAAACTATGAAAATCAGTTATAATAATCTCATGCTACTGCTGGCTAGTGCTCCAACACATCGGACATGATAGGCTAACAGGTAAGCAGTTGACCCATCATCACAGCGCTAGTCAGTATACCAATCAGAGCAGACTGGGCTCTGGTTTCAGACAGATATAGAAATAAAGACCCTTTTAAACATTAAATAAGAATATAAACCTGAAAATGAGCATAATAGGTCCCCTTTAAATCAAATAATCCATGCGTGCATTTTCCTTTTGCTACAGAAAGACTTTATAAAATGAAATCAATGTGACACTTTGTATTTGGTCCTGGCTTAATCTTACCTCTGGCTCATAGATCTCACAATCTGCACTTGGCAAAGCTTCCCCAGTGGGAGAATAAAAGAGGCTGGCCTTACAGTGTCCTTTGTGCTGAGGGGAGAAGACCAAGATAAATAAGTTAGAGAATTGTTATACTTTAAAAGATAAGTTGTTACACAAAAGGTACTGATCCAGATAAAATCTTTCAAATTAATCCTGATTTATTACAGGAATGCCAAAATGAAAACTTTATTTTAATTTAAAACAAAACAAATGAAATAAACAATCCATATGACTAAGATATAGTGTTGAAAAATAAATGTTTTCATGACTCACAGCGAACTCGCAATCCATGAGGGGGCAGTCATCAGATGCTGCAGAGCTCCTGGGGCAGGTGGTCTCCTGGATGGTGTAGTCTGCATTGTAATACATCGACATGGCCATCTGGTGACAAACACACCCATAACAAAAGAAGTTGGTCAAGTTGCAAGCGAATGCATTACAATAAGATGATTGTTCAAAGCGGCGGTCGGTCATGGGGATAGAGAGGGAATTAGTGTATATAGTCAGATTCTGGAAACCTTGATACTCTGGATGATTAGAGGATAATTTAATAATGGAAATTTGAATCAATTGGTGACATAAATCCAAGGTGTCAACAGGATTATGCTTTTAGCCTCCCCCAAGGAGATAATGTCTGTTTCTCAGCAGGATTCATAAACCAAGAAGAAAGGACCCATTACATTTTGGATCATGCATGCATTATTCAACTTTTTGAACATTACAACATAGGACGTTTGGCCTCGTCTTAAACGTACCCCGGCATTAGCACGGTTGATTTTGAGCAGAGCGAAGCGATTGGACAGCCCGCTCATGTTGTTGAACTTCTCCAGCGAAAGAGACACAGTCTTCTTAATCTCAGCATCTTCCATGTCCGTAGGAGTAGGACAGTCAGGACATAGCTCTGTCACGCGAGCTGAAGGAACTGAGCAGAGAGAAAAATCACGAAATGTCAAAAGACTGTTTGCACTGAACAAAATATCAGGCTCATTTTACCACATTTTGAGGCTTATAGGTTCACTTCTGCTTAGAAATCTGGCAAACTTATTAAGATTCAACTAAATAAAGTAGAACTTAACGGTTGTAAAAAATATTTACCTGGTCTGACGACACACTGGTATTTGTAGAGGCGCACCACCCTGTGCACCTTGCTGATGAAGATGGCAACCTTGCAATGTCCATACACCTGCAGAGACCAATACAACAATAATTGATTTTACTGCAAACATTAAATAGACTTGACTCATATTGAGATTTTTTTTGTATTATAGTCATTTAACCTGTTAAGCCCGAGAGACCCCGGTACCGGGGCACTGCCGCAACATCTTGCAGGAAACAGTGTCTGAGGGCATGTTCATTTAATAAAACTATGAATGTTTTTTATCCATGTAACGGGAAGAAACTCATCTAACTGATCTTTTTTTTTTTTTTTTTCAAAAGAAAACCCACAATGCTAACACTGAGCCTCTGAATTAGCAACGAGCGAAAAATGCTAACACCTTACTGCACCGAAAATCACTCACAAAACCTTATTATTTATCTTTTCACCACATCCAACACATCGTACCACATCGTGAGGTGACACAGAATCGATTGACACCGACATTACCACTGAATTATACGTATTTGCGACGTTATAAGCAAAAACGGACATCAAAACAGGTGACGCTAGGTAGCTAAAAATGCTAACATTTTTACCTTGGCTCTGTAGTCTCTCCAAAGTGGTCTTCAATGGCATTAAAACGATAAAAACGCTGCTGAAGTTAATCCATAGGTTAATCTAATGTGTCTGTGTCCCTTTGAAATTATTTCTGATAATCCATAAGCATTAAAACTGCTTTTCCGTTTCCAGATGTCAAAGCTAGAGATAGGTTCACTCTGATGGAAAATTACATATGGGAAGCCCCCACCTTTTCTCTTCACAACGTGTGTGTGTGGGGGACTCCCCCTTCGATTCTATTGGCTCTAACGGTCAGAAAGAGGTGTCTACCATCAAAATCGAGCAAGGGAAGCCAGAGATATGGAAGATCCACCCAAATGACCCCAGAAGTGGTTTCTTTTTGCTAAATCTCTCTAAAAAGGTCAAATATCACTTGTTTTGCACCAATCTTGATACAGGGTACTTATTATATGTTGTACTTTGGATTCCTAAAGCTTTTAGTCTACTAACCCATCATCCAAGGGTGGTTTTCACTATAAGTAAAAAAGAATTTTTGGACGGACACTATCATTTACAGTTTTTTACTATGTAAAATCTGAATTTTCTTTAAAATAAAAAACATCTATATTGATTCTGACTTTTCTACATCCAACTCACAGGTTTATCATTACTTTGAGAAAAAAGATTATTAATTTAACCCTTTTAGAAGGGAAGATATGGTCATTTGTTCTGGGAATGTCATTTTTGAGCCTGAGACCTGAAAAACAGGCTCAGGGCTTAACAGGTTAAAGGTTCATAATATAATAACTACTTTTTATGGAGCAACAGGAAAGTATAATGTGAGTCTTGACGTAATAAAAAACTGATAAAACAAGGCTGAACAGTACACACAACTTGCACAAATGTGAAATTTTGTGTTATCCCTTTTCAGTGGTGGAAAGTAAATAAGTACATGTGCTCAAGTATTGTACTTAAGTACTTTTTTTACATATTTGCAATTTACCTAAGTATTTCCATTTATTTCTACTTTATACTTTTACTCCACCTAATTTTAGAGGTGAATATCATACTTTTTACTCCATTACATGTATTTTAACACTCACAGTTACTAGTTACTGTGGACATATTAACACTTACTGTATAAGCTGATGCGGTATAATAACTAAATACTGTACTTCTAATGTACACAGTATCTAATTTGGTCCACATGAACCAACAGCAACACTAAAATGCTTTTACATGTAAAATACAAATAATATAATACAGTGAAAAGATACATTCTGCCTAATGAGTGCTTTACTTTTATACTTTAACTACATTTAGCTGATACTTGTTCTGTATTTTATATTATTCTGAAATGGGCCATTGTGCAGAATGAGTACTTTTACTTTTTGTACTTTGAATACATTTTTGTACCTTTACTAAAGTTACATTTTGTAATCACGACATTTGCTTGTATTTGAGAATTTGAAGACCAAAGTATTTGTACGTAAAGGATCAGATTACTTCTTTCAACACTGTCACTGTTTAGGGAGGGGTGTGCATGTAAAAGTGTGTGCGTCAACGAGTGTTTTCTGACCGGTGTGTCCTCGTCGGGGCGAGCCTCACAGGACTTCCAGTCGCTCCTGCTCAGAACACTGCAGTTGGTCTCCACAACATCCAGAGTCAGGTAGAAAACCACGCCGGTCTCTCCCTGTAACACACACACAGACACACACAGAACTCATTATCAGAACGTCATTATGCAAATGATCTTCCAGTGGTTAGAAGGTTGGGTTATTGTGTGATAGTACACGTGGCTGGTGATAAATGAAGACCCTAAACAAAGTTGTTCTTATCAGGTACCGATGCTTACATGACAAATGTATCCATCCAATGACTTTGGTATCACCTGATGTCTTTAACACAATCAATCTGTCTGCTACTACACCGCAGACACATCATTTATCTCTGGCTTAAATGTCTGATGTCTGAAAAGTAGTTTCTCTCATAACTCATTCATAATGAATATAAATACATAAGGAAATTACAGATTCTTATCATCTGAGTCTTTTGTTAAGTGCTACAGGTTATCAGATTTATGGGACCATACAGATGAGCTCCGGCAGACTGATTGATTGTTTTTCCAAAAAATATCCCATTTAGTCATTTTCTTTTAATCATCTCTTTTGACTTTTCCTTGCCTCAGCATTTCCTTTATTGTCAATTATAATAAGCAATCTCTTAGCACATGTTTGAAGACAGTTTGAGATAAAAACCTTCTTTATTTCATGGGTATATTCATTATTTAATTGTCAACTTCATTGTAGACAGACCATTGCCATCAGACATGATTGCAACCTTATTTAAAGTATTCATTTCTAAGTAAAAACTACATTTAACATTTATATAGATATAATATATATATATTAATGTCAAATGTTCATATTTTCTAAAGTAAATATTAGGAAGAAAATCTAGATTATTACATTTCAAATCTTTTTGACATCGAAGCACTTTCGTGTTTTTTCGTGGATTCCAATTATGGAATACCAACTTGTACAAACAAAACATCATCCATATCATGTACAACAACATGTACATGTTAATGAGTTGCCTTGTTTTGGTATAAAACCAAATGTAGAGAGGTTGCTTCTGATTGTGTCTCTACATTACAACTAAGAAATGTAGAGTGGTTGATGAATTTTGCCCATTAAAGACAGCCTGATAATATAACCTTCTGTTAACCTCACTTATTATATCTTCATATGGACTCACATGTTTGGTCATATGCACGTTGGACAGGCGGTGCAGAGCGAAGATGTAGCCCTCCTGCCGGTCCTGGTTGATCTTAGTGATGGCGAGTCCTGCAGCCCCCTTCGCAGACGCGTCTTCACACGATCCTTCCTCGATGCCAACAGTCTCCACCGGTGCAGCGCGGACGCATCCCAACGCCAACAGCAGCGACAACAACACAAAGTGCTTCATGGTTATAGGCCTGGTCAAAAAACACGCACAGGTTAGTGGGAAAGATGAGAGGAGGCCTTTTATATCCTGCTACTGTTCACTGTAAGAACACCCTCACTCCCACAAACACAAAACCACTGCCCCTTGTGTCATTTCAGGTAAACATAACCCTTGAACCCTTACCTTAAACGGATGGTCATATCTTGGATCCTGCATCAGTTGATGTATATCCATCATATATGGTGTCCAATTGTGGAATTCTCAACAAAAGGATCTAAAGAATTGTATATGTATTTTTCAGTTAAAGAAATTGTATAAATTAAGAAAGATGGGACTATATGAAGCAGAATGTGAATAAGTCTATGTACTCTGGTCCTGCATTGTTGAATATTTTTGATGTCTTAGATGTGATGTCTGTTCTTTATTTGCAGGTCCCATTGTTATTGTTATTGTTATTATTATTATTATTAGGCGCCGCTTTCCACCTTCTTCTCCAGTAGGACTCAGATGAGGGTGTACTCTTATGTGTGGCTGTGAAAATTTTTTTTTATTATGAAGGGCAGATCATCTATTTGTATTTATTTTGTTTTTTTTAGAAGGGGGCAGGTCTTACAAGATTTTATTCTTCTCCCTGCTCCTTTTCGCTCAATGGTGTGTAGAGACATGTTTTGTTGGCAATTATTGTACATTTGGCTATGCTATACCATGAGCGGGACAAATAAAAATGAAATGAAATGAAATGAAATATCCCAACCAATCAGCTACTGTGGTGACTTGCACAGTGGAGCTTATCATGTTTGTTAGATAATGGGCCCTGCAGTCCCGCCACTTCGGATCAACAGGGACAGTGAGGGGGCTTAAAGTCTCTTGATACAATCTTGGCCCCCATTCCCTGTTCAATAAAGCACTATAAACAAGATTGGATAACACTGTGGTCATCATCTAGAAGTTAATAATGAAAACTAATCAAACTGAGTTCTTAGAAGTCCATTCAAACACATTCGACAGCTGTAGTAGATACTGTATCAGGTCACCATTGTCTTTAAATGCTTTCACACCTCAGGGGCAGATACGCCATGATTGTATCACAATATCATAGCTAATCACATCTCTGTGGTCTTGTATCTCATAGCATCTCTAGCTCTGATGTTTAGATCTAACTTTGAAAAGGGTGATGTTAGTTTCCCCTTTTTATGTTTGCATACAGCACACAAAAACAAACAGGTTTTGGACCAAACTTCTTCACAAAGACAGAAAAAAACATTTATGTACATAGAAGATTTGGATATAAAAAGAGATTCAAGTAGAAACACAACACATATTCTGTAGTACCACCAAGGTACAAGACAGCATACTGTATGATACTTTATGAAGACTCCTGTACTTTTACTTAAGTAGGATTTTGAACACAGGAAATAATTGCTCATATTAATCATTAAAAAAAGTATCTTTGCATTGATGTTTGATACTTTCAATCACAGTAAGTCAAGGATCTGAGTACTATAACTACACAAACCATCGTAATTTAATTGTTTATTTACTTTTTGTTCAATGGCAACTTTCTTTGGACATGCAGCTATCTGCAGTATTGTGATGGCTCATTTTTCTCCTTGACCTTTTTGAATATTTGAACACAAGTTTTCCCTACCTTTCCTTAGCAAAGAGTTTTCAATTGTTTAGGATTAAGACTAAAGATTTAAGAAATACTTTATAAATCCACAAGGGGAAATTACATTTGTCCCAACCCTGACCCTTTTCACTCTGTTGTTATTGACATGACATCACACACATACTTTAACCACACTCTATTCATGTTTTGGTAGCCAAGTGCATATACTGGTATGATAATTATATTCTGATTCTGATTCTGATTCTGATAACTGTTTGTTTTAAAAAAAAATCACATGACTGAATGTTAACAAGGGTTTTCAGTCATTAACACTTTGGTTTAAAGCATCATACTCATTCTAAACAACTTTTTTAACTATTTATTGGAAGCTGTGGGGAATTAAAGCAGAAGACATGAGCGGAGAAGTATTTTGCGTTGGCTCTTTCCTGAACTTCAGTTTTTGGTGCTCCCATATCAACTGCTGAACTGGATGGTTAACTTTCTGCTGAGAAACATTTGACCTTTGTTATAACAAAATAAACAATCCATGGAATCAAACGGCTAAAAATCGATAGTTCTCTTGCAGCTGCTGTGTTGCAATAATCAGATACACTTACACAAGATACAGAATTGTTGGGACACTAACACCCATACCATACATGTCAATCTGAATTAAAAGCTTGAAATAACACAAGATAAAGATTACACAAGATGATAAGTGAAAAACAAGTTAAGGTTTAGCAGCCGAAAGAAGTGAAACTTACTTACAGAACTTTGTGTTCCAAACCAGAAGTCATCATGCCAATGGCAATGATCTTGTTTTTGACTGATTCAACATGATGTTTTGTGTCAGAGAGCAACAAACATGACATGGTTCTGTTACACGTTGGTTGCTTAAATACAAATACAAAATATTTGAGATTATGCAAGGGAAGGCCATGTGGCAAGACTGTCTACAGTAGGGCGAGGTGACACTGACAACCGCAGTCATATTTAAAATGATTTGATCTATTATTCAAAGTTAGGATCTTCACATATTAATTGCCAAAAGGACATTAAAGTTACTTTACAATACTTTCAAGATGGAAAAATTGGCATGCATTGGGTTCATTTAGTTGATGATTAGCGTAACATTGTTAGAGCCTGGTGTATTTAGTTTTATTTGTGAGGCTCTGCTTAGTGAGTCAGTAATGACTTCGAGGGTATTGACCCAGATCACTGAAACTCAGCTAAAACTCAGTACACAACTAAAGATAAGAACTAAGACGTGTGGATCTACAGTAAGAACCTTCATTGTTCTGGTTCTGAAGTATATAAATGTATATATTTTGCATGGTAATTGCCTGTGATAAAGCAAACAGAGAACACACAGGCAGACTACTACAATAGTGTGCTTACAGGCTTTATTGGGGCAAGGGTGAAAATGTAGAAAGAGCCACCTCTACACTGTACAGGTTTGTGTAACCTTTAGGGTTGGGGTTCAACTTCAGCCACGTTGGGGATTGACCAAAAGTTTGGTCTATTGGTCCAAAGTGAAGTGTCAAGCAATAATGAACAGTAGCTGAGCACATTTACTCACAGAGTGGGCTTAAGAACAATTCTGAATACTTTAAACTGCTTCTACGCCGCAAGATTTCAGAGAGAAATTAGACTTACACCATTTACTTGACAATTCTATTTATGGGACAGATGTAGTAGTAGTAGTAGTAGTAGAACCTTTATTTAGCCAGGAAATTCAATTAAGAACACATTCTTATTTTCAATGATGACCTGACAGGAGGCAAAAGGCTTCCTGAGGGGATGGGGGTTGGGAGGAAGAAAATAAAAAGACAGACTCTGGGCACTACAGAACCCAGCAGACAACACAATGACACAGAGCAGAGATGACAGGCTTAGCAGTTAAACATATAACATCTCTAAAACAATACTGCTGGAGTTCAATCAGTCATTAAAATAATATAGAACATTCATCCATTCAAACATTCATTCATTCATTCATCCATTCATTCCTTCATGGCAATGTATACTAGGAGAGGTCAAGACATTGGTAGTGAGCATCAGGCAAAGCAGTTGCATGTGTGTACCAGGGTGTTTGTAATAGTGTTCCTGAAGGTGCAGGGGGAGATAAAGGTCTCCATCTTCACGTTTTTTTGTATGATATTCCAGCTATCAGCTTCTGCAAACTGAAAGGCGAAGCGGCCAAAGGATGTATGGGCTTTGGGGATCTTTAGCAGGATGTTTTTAGCTGACCGGGTGTTGTGCGTCGGGGGTTGCAGTAATTGTCTGAGGTAGAAGGGGGTGAGGCCTAGGAGTGTTTTATAAACAAACATCAGCCAGTGGATGTTGCGCCTGGTCTCAAGAGATTGCCAGTTTGCCAGAGAATACAGATCACAGTGATGTGTCCTGTAGGGGGCATTGGTGGCGAAGCGGATGGCGGAGTGATACAGAACATCTAAATGATCGAGAGCTCCTTTACACGCTGAGCGGTAGATGGTATCACCGTAGTCGAACAGAGGAAGGACAGTCATCTGGACCAGAGAGAGTTTAGGAGATGAAGTGAATGAGGAGCGATTCCTATATAGAAAGCTGAGTCTAGCTTTAACCTTGGTCTGAATTTTGGAGAGATGTTCTGAGAATGACAGATTACTGTCAATCCAAAATCCCAGTTTTTATAAGATTTAAAGGTAGGGTAGGTAAGTTTGAGAAACCGGCTCGAGATCGCTAGAATTTGAAAATACACAACCGGAGAAAATCTGCCACTTCCTTATAGAGCCCCTCCTCCAACACACACGAACGCGCACATGACCAATGAGGGCACGAGATAAGTTTGTGCACAGATGGAAGGCTGACAGGCAGGTAGGTCATCCAGTTGTTTTAGCCGGGCCGGCTAAAATGATTGGTCGTACTTTTTACAGTATTACGGCTTCCACAGATTACATTTTTTTATGGATTTTTTGTCAAAGCACAAAAAGTGTATCTCGAGCCGGTTTCTCAAACTTACCTACCCTACCTTTAACTATTTCGAGGTCCCGGCCATCGGCGGTCACAATAGTGCCAGTTTGGGAGGCACCACTGCGGCCAAGCCACATGATCTTGGTTTTAGTGGTGTTCAGGACCAGGCCAAGGGCAGAGAGATGTGACTGGATTCTCTGAAAACTATCCTGAAGAGTTTTCAGGACAGTATCTGGGGAAGGGCCAGCAGTGTACAGAATCATGTCATCGGCATATAGGTGGATAGAGGAGTTGCCCACTGATTTCTCCATGTCATTTACATATATTGAGAATAAGGTGAGTGCTAGGATTGAGCCTTGTGGTACTCCCTTAGAGATGGATAGGGGCTGTGTCATCAGATTGTCAGATTTTACACACTGTGTGCGCAGGGACAGGTAGCTTTCAAACCAGGCTATCGATTGGTTAGTGACACCAATGCATCTAAGCTTTCCCAGAAGCAGTT